TAGTAAATTTAAAATCTGAAAATAATTAAAAAAATATTTGTTCTTAAAAATATTTTTTTGCTTTACTGTTAAAACAACGTATAATTGCAGTTTATATCCTAAAAATTAAAACAAATAATAAAAATACATAAAATAATGAAATCATTAATTATATTTTTATTTTTTTATTTTTCTATCTTTTTAAAATTATAAATTAATTTTAATCATTAAATTAAAATTGTTAATAAAAAATATATATTGCTTAATTATTGTTGAAAATACAAATAAAATTCATTTAATCTAATATAACAATTTATTTTATATTAAAAAAATTATATAATTCAAGTTTTTTTAGAAATCTCTTGTCATCTTTACATTCAAGGAATGCAGTCTGTTAAATTTGACTCCATTTTATAACCTCTTTCGTATTAATTGCGATTAATTCAGAGTATTTGCCAGTAGATTACTATTTTCAATAGTTATAATATAATAATATCAATATCATGAAATTAATGACATTATGTTAAGAGTAAAGGAAAAACGCGGGAAACGATAAAATGACATACCTTAGGATCACCTTCGCCGCTGACGTAGTATTTAACATCGGCGAATAGAGCCCCGTCGAGTTTTAATTCTTCGAGGCCGGCTCTAATGTCGCCCATCTTTTAAAAATTATAAATAAAATCACGTTTTCCACATCACAACAAAACAATTCGTTTTCGGGAACGAGGTATAGCACACGTAATATTTGATAACAAAACTCAGTCGCGACGCTTTTGTTATTATTATGATTTCAAGGTTATGTAGCTACTTCGAAATCGAACGGTGTACGTTGCACTCGATATAAATCGAAAACTTCGAGTGCGCTCGATTTGAATATCGAAAATGTCAGTTGAAATTAATATGGAATTGTGTAAAAAAATAGCTTTGTCATTTTGTATTAAAAAGTTCGAAAATAATTAAAATACGTATGAAAATATTATATTAAATATTATTAATACGAAGTAGTGATATAAAGTGTATAAAAGAGAAGTTTTTTTTCGTTTTTTAATTATATTTTGTTCAAATTACGATTCAAAGTATAATAGCATCGCTGAGGTGAATATCAATATAATTTAGAGATAAAATATTTTAAACTAATGTATCGGTATAGATATTATTTTTAAATATATAATATTAACGAAAATTTTTGTGATAATATTATATATGTGTTATCAACATATTTTGAACAACATAGCTGATTTAAATTTTTAAACAAGGTAATATATATTATATGTATATATGACATACAGAAAAGTTTTGAAATAAGTATATACATAAAAAATAATAGAAAATTTAAATTGAATTCTTTTCAAATTACATTGTCGAATAAAAAGATATTTTCGATATTTAAAAAAATATTGTTAAATATTTTATATTATACTTATCTCAAAATAAATTATAACAATTATAACAATAAATTTATAACAATTATATAGGATATTAAAATGAAATTTTATTCTTTACTTTTTACCAAAGTCAATATAAATTATGTGCAATGTGCAAAAATTGTCATGATTATATATCAGGTTGCATAAAAATACACAAAGTTTGAAAACATTTGTTTATTTTATTGTATACTCTTTTCATTCGCGTAGTAGGTACATATCAGCATCTAAAATGCTTTTCATAATAGTTCTCCAAGACTAGTTCTCTTTCCTTTTATGCATTCTTCGATTCTTCTCTCTCTCTCTCTCTCTCTCTCTCTCTCACTCACTCGCACTCGCTCCCTCTCTTTTTCTCCCTTCCTTCGTCAACTTTTACTCTTTCGCTCTTTCTCTCTCTATCACGCACACTATAATATAATTCTCTCTCTTTCTATTTTTTCTATATATATGTATATCTCATCATTCGCGCTTTTTTTCCTCGCATTCATAGATAAATAAATTGTAGGCTAGTATGTATAAGTTTTCTTAATAGATTTCCTCTTCTTACTTAATTTAATAGTCATTTGTCACTTAACAGATTTATTTATCTTGTAAAGACTCTAGAAATATTGAGCTTGGTCTGGTCAGTATACGTCATATATAATTCCCATTAACTTTTGTCGTTTTTTCTTTTTTTTTTTTTTTTAATTAAATTATACATGTTCTATGTATCCGTGTATACGTGTATATGTGTATGCGTGTATCACTTCGTCGAAATTGGTTATTTTTTTTTTCAAATTCGTTACATCGTAGTATCGAATATCATTTCATTTTTTTTTCTCGATCATAATATATCGTAACTCTAAATAAATGATGAAAATAACCATATGAATGGAGAAAAAACTGAAGTGGAGGAAAAATGAGCGGCAAAATTTTAAATCCTTCGTTGAATGAATAGATAGATCACATAACTCTCTGTCTAAGAAAAATTTTGTAGATTTCTTAAATTAACGTCTCGATATCGTGAAATTAAAATCGTCCACTTAAAATTATATGAATATGTGTGTACATATATATGTGTTTGTCTGTATACGTGTATATATATATATATCTCTTCCGTAATAACAGATTTATAATTCATCTTATTAATCGTTATTTAACAAGTATTCTCGTGAAACGATACAAGAGGTATGTATTGCTCTGTAACAAAAAAAATAAAACATCTAAATCGTATTTCACGTAGAATTGGTAACAAGTTTGTTATCGTAGTTCATAGTCGCTAAGGCAGAAAAGAGGATAATCGCATGGATCTAGTTTCGAACAATTTCTTCTTCTGCGTGAACTTGAATGGAACTATACCCGATATGATAATGTTTAATAATTAGTTATCGTCCATTTGGTATACACGATTACACATTTAGGTGCTTAACGTTTTATAGTTCAAGATATTTCAAGTATAATATCCTCTCAGGCATCTGTGATTATTTACAATATCATTTATAATATAATCAAAATTTGAATTCTAAATTTGTGATCTAGAATAAAAGAATGTCATTAAGATTTTTAGAGAAATAAGAAAAATTTTAAATCTTATTTCTTAAACTAAAAGTAATTGAGAAAGGAAACATTAATAATTGAAAAAGACAATTTCTGATATTTAAAAAAAAAGAAATTACATACATTACATATATCATTAAACATTAGGTTGGTGTACATGAAATTTTTCAAATAAATTCTATTCATTTTATCCAAATATTGATTAATTGTATTTTTCTGGATTTATAAGAATTGCAGTTTTTATAAATTTTTACAATTTAAAACAATTTGTGAATACTTTGTTCAGATTCAATATAATATGTTTCTAGCAAGTTTCTTTTTCTTTCAATTCTGTCAATTTTATCAATAATAATAATTAATGAATTAGCATATTAAATTCAAATAATGTAAAAACATTTCATTTGTTCATTTGTTCACCAACCTAATACACTATCAATAGTTTACAATAATTTACATATTTCTTGCAATTAAGAGGATACCTATACTTAGCCACTTATTGTGCTTATCCGATGATAAAATAAGTTAATCGATCGTTCGTGTCGAAATTGTAATCTATAATTTGCGCGTGGACAAGAGAAACTCTGTTTAGATCCGAGTAAATCATATAACGATTTGAGGAAAGGGAGATGTGAGACAGATATTATCAACGCTTAAAAATAATTAATGTAATTGCACTTTACATGCTGCCTTTGAATCCACGAGCAAATATTTTCATGTATAAACGAATTCTATTTCGTTTTATACTTATTTTTCTCCTCGTACATGTTATACGTATATATAATTTCAATTGTTGAAAGTTATAGATTTAAAAGTGACTAGAAAATAAACTTAATTCGCAAGTTAGTTGAAGATTAATGTAAATTAATTTGTACCATACCATTGTTTACAACAGCAATGAATCATTTTACTACTTTTGATGAAATTAGATGATTTAAAATTAATCAATTTTTCAAAATTAAAATCACTTCTCACTTACAATTATTTTTGTTTCTATCGTAACATAACACGTTTTAAAATTCGTAATCCTTAGTCAAGTCTTCAAGTAGCAGATATGAGTATCTAAGTATACAATTTCAAACGGCTATAAACTTCAACTTTTGAAAAACGAAGTTGTATCTTTATTCGCTACAGGCTATATCCGATTTTCATTTTATTCCTTGTAAAACTAAAAACTCTCACCTAACACAAAATTAAAATTTCGATAACTTCATAAATTGTTTGACATCATCAAATAAAATGAAAATTTTATCTCAAAAGATAAGAGCATTACTATTCACATTCTTTGATCAAAACTCTAAATGAAATCGAAAATATGTCGATGTTTAATCCTTAAATGCATGATATTTTTGCAACAAAAATATTTCGAAATTGAAAATTCACACTTATGTTCTTAGAACAAAAATTCGTTAAAAAATAGCAACGAATAGTATCATACCAAGTATACAGATAAATTACATATTATTTTAAATTATTGAGAAATTATACAAAATATTGATATATTCGTGAAATACTTTTGGAGAATCGATTGAGATCAAACAAACATAAAAATTAATATACAGAAATGTTTTACATCTGTATCGAGACTTATTTATCAAATTATAAATAGACTGTGGATTTAATGCACGAAAAATCTATAGAATGCATACGATATGCAAAAGTATCCAAAGTAAAGTATTTAATTTTTATAATTATGTTCATAAATATTTTAATTTGCACAAACATCCGCAGTCTAATTATAACAAATTTTAATTTACGTTAGATGAAGCGAATAGAATTGTTTCTATATCCTTCTCGATTCATCTATGTGTTGTTAACACATTCGAGAATTGTTAACACGTCGAGCGACGCAACATGTGCGTCACGAGACGCATTTTCTATTCTACGGCGGTTGACACGTAAGATAGTATCATAAATTTTTCTCAAAAAAAAAAAAAAAAAAAAAAAAAGAAAAATATATCTTTCCACACACGCATTCAATATACGTTTATTGTTTCGTCGATATTATATTTTACGATTCTCTTCTAATTTTCGAAAATTAATATTCGTTATCGGTATTCGATTTTTGGTATATTCTCGAATGAGTTAACTTAAACAAATAAGCCTCAATCGACATTTTCGTATATACAAATTTTTCGAATCTCGAAAAAAAAAAAAATATGCCATCAAACGTCAATATCTTGCATTTAAGAATTAAACGACATCCCAAATCTCTACACGTTCTTTTCAAAACCGGCATCTCTCGTATTATATTACGTGCACGGTGTGCACAGAGAGGGAGTTCGACCACGACGCAATAAACGCACGCATAAATCGGACAGTTACGCGTGTATTAACCTCATCTGGCGAGGATCTCATATTAGATTGGCCCACAAAATCTCTTTGCGAATCATAGAAAATAAGGAACGAATCCCTCACATCATCGTCTCCCTACAACTGGTCATGCTGTCTAACTGTAGGTAAGGGCAATCGTTCTCGCATAGGGTGGCGTTTCGAGCAGCGGTGGCAGGCCTGCTGTTGCACCAGCCCTCCGTGTGCAACGTGCTCGTGAGGTAACACAGTACGTCTAGAATCTCGTTAATGCGCTAGGAGCCCGGGTTCGCGTCCTCGCTACTTCTCCGCCTTGCCTCCAACTCTTGCGCCAGCATCGCCACCTCCCAGTTGTTGCGCCCTTGTCTCCTCACTTCCCCCTCCTCGTCATCGTCCCCGTCGTTCTCGCTGTCCCTCGCCGCTCTGTCGTCCAACTCGTCCTCGGATCTGCTGCTCTCGCTGTTCGACTCGAAGTCGATCGCCACGTCGTCCTTCCACAGTGGTTGAGGAACGATCGAGCTGGGCAGCTCTTGGAGCTCCAACGTCTCCTCCTCCGAATGCTCTTCCCACGATCTCCTGTTATGAGAACTGGATTCGGTGGACGGCGAGGAACGCTTGTAGCGGGGTTGGGTGGTCAGAACGGTGTCCACGGAACCGTCCCTCATGAAAGGATGGTCCTCGCGGTCGTCGTCCAGATCCTCCTCCAACGAGGCGTCGTGCTCCGTGCTGTCGCCTATGGACTCGTCCGCGTTCCGCGATTCCCTTTGCTCCAGCTCTAATATCCTTGCCTGGAGCTGAGATATTATCTCGTCCCGCTTGCGAATTTCTAGCTCCAGCGAGGTGAACTGCCGTTCGAACTTGGTCTGGATATCCTCCTGGAAATAGGATTGTTATATTGGAGGATTTGTAGGTTAGAATTTAATTTTTTTTTCGTAGCGTGTAAAAATAATTCTAGAATTATAATATAGATTTGCTCATCAAATTTTAGAAAAAAATTTTCCTTTTTCTATTTATATTTAATACACTTTCATGATTTCTGTATTTATATTATATTTTAGATATGTGATCATTTTTCTTAAAATTTTTTCTCTCTAGAATTTTTTCCCTAGGATTCTTGAATAACTTGCGAGATCATTTCTGACAGTATTTCTCCTAGATTCTTTTTCTCTAGAAGAATTTTTCTCTTGAACTCACTTCTGCACACAACACAAGTATAATAAAAGGAATCAAAATTAAAAAAAGAATAATCCTAAAATCAGGAAAATAATTATAGTATAAACTATGCTAAAATATGCTAAAATATAACAAATTCTAGAAGATAGAAATTTATGCGATTCGATATGGTTCATGCGGTATAAATATCATTTAATTGTTCAACATACAAAATCAACGGAGCATTATCGTTGTTTGAACAGAATATGATAACGAGTAACCGTATTAGTGACTTGGAACAAGAAGTAGCAAATAGAACGAAATATAAGCGGTCGAAGTGCAAAGTTCTTGCGAATATGATGCACGAGAACTTTGCAGTATCGAAGTCGGTAACTTCGAAGCTAATATTTTCACAGAAAAATTACGAAGCTAAGGAATCTTATCGAATCTTATGAAATGCTCTTTTATCAGCGATTTTTTTTTTATTTTTAAGGTTATATTTTAGATACTTTGAAATCTTGAATTCTGGAAAATTTTAAAAAAATTATCATCTTAAATTTATCTTTTGATTTATCGATCTGATTATTCTAGACGAAAAATAGTTAGTTTTTGATTAATTGAACGTAGAGTTTAGAGAAAAATATTCAGTTTTTTTTTCAGATAGGAATGTGATTATAAATTAGCTTTTTTAAAAATAGCTCCTATAAAATCTTCTTCTTTTTTTATTTTAACGATAACTGTATATAAACAAAATATATAAACTCACCAGACGACTCTTAACGATCTCTTTGATACCAGACACCAGCTCCCCCAAGTATTCCTCTTCTCGTGGCCGAGATACCATTTGCAGGATACCTCCGCTGCCCAAAGGACGGAAACTGAGTTTATTGGGCGGTGGCAGTGAGGCCTGCTCTTGGGTGTCGGACAAATGAGACCCGATCGGATAATTAACCGGTATCTGCTCGGACGGTGGGCTCTGCAGCGTGTACTTGTTAAACGTGACGCTTTTCGAGAGTTTCGAGTGGCGTGCCGCGTATCCCTCTATGGTTGGCGCCCTCATCAATTCCTTAATTCGGCGGTGGCGGCCTCGCGGTCCGGCGTGCTCGTCGCCGAAGTTTCCGAGCTTCCGGTTCTGCTTCCGGCCGACAATTTTTTCAATATGCTCTTCAGGTTCCGCCTCTCCAACGTCTCGTTCTCGGGCGATAGTTGCTCCGTCGGTGACATCGACGCCATTCGATTCTGTAATATTTGTCGCGTTTGAAAAGAAATGGCGCGAATTTTGAATCTCTCGCACGCTTCGGAAACGGATTTCTCGCGGAATTTTTGAAAAATTCGAAACCGATATTCCGCATAACGGGTCTGATTTGGATTTTATTTATTTTAGAATTTTGAAGAATCATTTTTATATAATTGTTGGAATGTGTTTTATAGTTTTGAATCCAAAATTGATAATCCAAATATTTAGAATTTTGGATTATTATTTCTATGGTTTGATAATTTTGATAATCCAGTTATTGAATTCGATCGATATCTCATCTTAAAATTTTGAATTATCATTTTTACATTTTTTGTTGGAAATTGATAATTGATATTCTACGTAATTTCTGCCGTTAGGATTAAAATAATCCAAAAATTGTATCGGATAACCCCTTTCAATTTATAATTAACGGGGTAAAAATAAAATTGGAACTACTATACATGGAAAGAATTTTGATTCGGTTGACAGTGGTTATTGAGTGGTTCCGCCCGAATAGAACGAAGCGAGTAAATCAGGTGTGTATAACGCGGAAATTGAATGGTGGAACTTTACCATCCAACGATCGAACGTACCAACGAAGTTTCCTAGAAACTAATACCAACTATTAACCAACTATATACAGCATCGATATTCGAGTAATAACGTGCTACCATCCAAAAGTCCCTAGATTCTGGATTCGTATCTCAGACGTCGATCGAATATCGTGCGTAACCATCATCGACATTAATTTCCTATCGGGATCACGTGATCAAAAACATGTCGATCTATCAACAAACCTGTGTTTCATTAAAAAAAAAAAAAATTCTTCTTTGAAAATCGTTCAAATTATTATTATTATTATTACTTTTCTCTTCCCCTCTAAACAAACATACCTGATTAAATTTTTCCAATTTCCTGGCGTACTCGATGGCGCAAGCCTCCGAGTGACTTCTCGTCAAGTTTCCGTCGAACTCGATCTCGTTGTTCTCCCCGCAATCCAAACTCGAGCTTCTCACCGCCTTCTCGAGCTCCGCCAACTTTTGCCTCTCGTTAAGTATCTTCAACTTCTTGACAAACGGCAGTCCGCAATACTCGGGCGAGAGATCGTCAACGGACGCGTACATCTTGGTCTGCTGCCTGATGTGGACCAAACTCTGCCTCAACTGCAACCTCCTGCCCGGTGGACTTCTTTGAGGCGAGTTCTCCTTATTTGTCAACGAGGCGTCCTTCAACATTGCCCACGGCTTCCTCGCGTTCGACCCGTTGCCAACGTTCTCAGCTACGTTCGACGTGGTTGCCGGCGACTTCACGCTCTGCTCCACCGCGCTTTGCAGCGAGGCTTGCCTCTGGATCGGTTTGACCGGTTGCCTCTGTTCCTGCTGCTGCTCCTCCTCCGGTATACTGGTGTTCTTTGGGAGCAGAGGTTCCTTGGTGGGCGCCTCCTTGTCCGCCTCCCTCGCCTCCTGATCGTTCTTCGCCTTCAGAAGCAAAATCCTCTGGAGAAAGGGCAGATTGGGATTCATAGGGTTCTGCGCCTCCTGCTGGGCCGGTTGCTGTTGCTCAGGCGCGTGCACTTGGGTCTCCATCAGGTTTCGACGCTCCTCCCTCTCCTCCTTCTCCTTCAACAGCCTGAGCCTGGCAAGCAACGGCAAACCAGCGCCCAAAGGCGAAACTGGTGCCTCTTGAACGCTCGTGGCCGACGACGGGTCCTGGCCGTCGTCCACCTTTTGCTGCCGCTTCAACGTGGGCCCCTTCGGCGTCAACGGTTGCAGCTCCAGGCTCTCCTCGGGCCTCGTGTTCCGCCTGCTTTTCCTCAACGCGTTTTTCAACCCTTTCACGTCGCTCTTCAGCTTGTCCACGATCCGTTTCCCGGTGCTGTTGTCGGACGAGTCGTGGCCGGGGGACGTTGGTTGACGGGACGCCCTGGCCACCTTCTGCGCCTCCATCAGACGCTTCCTCCCGAGATTTTGCAGGATCTCTTGAGCCTCTGGGTAATCTTTCATCGCCGCCAACACGTCCTCGCGGGAAAGGCTGAACAGCTCCGAGTAGCCCACCGAACGAACGTCGGCTGTGCGCCTTTAATTTAGAGATTTAATAATGGTTTATCGAATTTTTGAATTTTGAATCGAAATATAGTTTGGGATGATAGGAAAGTGATATATTTTGTATTTTTTTTTTTCCTTGTATACTGAATTTTGAGGAGATTTTTGAGGGGCCTCAATCGGTATTACAGTTTTTAGCGAATAGCTAGGGATCCCTAGATGATCGGAGTATTATTCCATTGTGTTATATTTTGTATAAATTATCCAATATTGGTGTTTTTAACAAAAAGTAATGGGAATGATTTTTCAACGATATTGCGTTAGACAATAATGCAACGAATTTCGTATATACTAATATCAATTGTTCCATAGTATAGTGATTTTGTTTCTACTTTAAATTCATTATTAGTTTTTGTAATTCAGTTAAGCTCACTTCAGAAGAATTTCAAAGTTCGAGAAAGTTGGTCTCTGGTTCGTGCTTGTGTAGAAATCATAAAGAGAATTAATTGTATTCTAAAACTTTCGTTATATTTATCAATTGAATTGTTGAACAATTTCACGATAAGAAGAGAATTGATAAATATCGTTTCTTTAATTACATAAAAATTCTAATAATTCAAGCAACAATATTCAACAAAGTATTGGAATAATAAAATTTTTCGATTTCGTATTATTGTGCATACTGCTTCACCCGAGAGACTAGAAAATCGAAGCGAAACGAAATTCGAGACAAGTTCAGAGATAGTGAATGATGAAACAAGAAAGTAGGACGAGTTATATACACGCCAGGGTTAGAAGGCGAGGGAAATAAGAAGCGGACAAAATTGAGAAAAGGTTTTATCGATTGCAGTTTTCGACTATTGCCGCATTTTCTCCCAGCCAGATATTTCAACCAGAGCCACCCTTCTCCAACAAATTTTTCACTGTTTGGCTTCGTGTATCAAGTAATGTATCAATTTATGCTCGATATAATTTTGACATGGTTATTCATTGACACAACAGAGTGTCCAATATAGAGTTTTCTTAAAATTTTCCTTCACGAAGATATATGAGCTGAATACTGTTCCAAAATAATGTAAATTTTATATTTCTCGATTAAATTAATTCATTTTAAAAGCTGAAATCTGTATTAGAGTAACGATCATGTTACTTAATCTGTTGATTAAACAGATTGATTTTCAACATCGAAATTATTCATTCCATAATTCGCTCGAAATCATACCAGTCTGCTTGTTTAAATATTTCATATTAATTGTTATTGATATATGTGAATATCTGTTCCATTATAATTTGCATAATCATTTGTTAAAATTTGATAAATATATATTTCATGTTTAATGTTATATATTTTATACATAAATGGAATAACATCTTTTCGAAATGATTTAAAATAAGAAAATTTCGAAATAGGATACAAGGCACTTCAAGTTACTTACTTGTTTAATCCGTCCAGATTAAGAATTCCAATTTCTCCGAAAAAGTCCCCGGCTTCCATGGTTGTTAAAACTCTTCCCGTTTCACTAATCACCTCTAAAATCCCGTCTGCTATTATGAACATTTCCCTAGCCACTTCCCCCTTTCGACATATCGAGTCGCCAGGCGTGAATATATAAGCTTTCATTTTTAACACTAGATCGTGAAGAAATTCGGGTTGGCACTCCTGCAAACATAAAGAAAAGAACGATATGAACTGGTTCATTGAAATTACCAATATTGAATAAATAGAAAATTTGAAAGAATCTCAAAGAAAACAAAGATAAAGGTTTGCAAAAAAGATTTATATGTTTTTCGAGTTATAAATATTTTTTTTTTAATTTTTACATCTGAAACGCCTGTATTTAGGCAACCGGTTTAGCGATCAGCTTATCGAACGACCGGTTGCCTATACACAGGCGCTCTTCGTGAAAAATTTAATTCCACCATATGTAACTTAGAAAATATGTTTTATTCAACAATTTTTTAAATATCTATCATTCTTTTTATCTTAAAATTCTATCCTATAATAATAATTTCTAATTTTTACGAATCATTATTATTCCTACTTAAATATTCTACAGCGATAATACAGTATCGTTAGACAGCATTCTACAGGTTTAAAACTCTTGGTTTTTAAAATTCTTGCCTGTCCTACATAAGAATGAGAAATTACTCGAACAAATAACAAATTTATTCAAAGAAGATCGAAAAAACATTACGCAATAATATTTTTAAATATCCATTTAACAACTTTCTTAATAAAAGTTATTTAAAAATTATCGTTGCTAAAAGAGATCAAATGACACATCGATACGGTAAAATATTTGTCACTCGGTGTAACGTAACGATTTCCTTTTTTGTCCATTCGGTTTACAATAGACTTCGTTAAAATACGATCGTATTTGCGTGTACACAAGATCGCATGAGTGCACCGTGTACCGTGGACGATATGGTAATGAAAGGTACGTTAAAGGCTTCATCGAGGCGGACACGGTAGCGGCAATTAAAAGTCGCATAAATGCACCAATTATCGGGCAATTGTAATTACCGGTTGTAAAAAAAAAAAAAAACCTTCTCCTATGTCCCGTTACGGTTTTTACCTGGGAGTCGCGTGTTTGCCAGCAACACACGATTGTAGTTGGATTTTCATCGCACGATCGAGGTACGTTTTAACGTGAAAGAATAAGTTTGCATTTATTCGAAATAATGTCCGTTAAACAATTATTTTTCCTCTTTGTTTTTAAAGTTATATATATTTTTGGGAAGAAAAATTGGAATTTCTTCGTTTTAGAGAATTATTATCCCCATTTTGTAAAATTATTTAATTTTAATTTAATTCCTCACTCAGTTCAGTTCCAAGAAAATGACGATGCGAATTATCTTTATCTTTAAGGATATGCTTGACAACTAAATTCTTTCTAAACATTGTTTCGAGTTGGACAAATGTTTAATTATTATTATTATTATAATACGAAGGTTATGGATAGAATATATTCACGCATGTTAGTACAATCGCGTACGCAAAACGACTGAAATTAGCATCCCTCTTATCGATTCCTTGAGAACGACCTTGCGGTTTCTGCTCTCGCAGAAACAGGATATCGAGAGGAGGGTGAATATTAACGGATGCTTGTCGTCTTTAAACGCGTGCAGAGGCGCGTTCGTGCATGCTTATCTATAAACGTAAATAAATATCGGGGAGGATGTGACGTAATTCATTCAAACACTCTGCCCTTTCGTTTTCCTTCCTCATTCTAGATTCTTTTGTTCGTGGAAATTTCCTTCCACCGAATTTCATTTATTTATAATTCTCATTCGAATTATCATTTTTTTTTACAATTACTCGAAATTCTGAGACAAACGTCATTTTTTTAAAAAAAAAAAAAGTATCTAAAGAATCAATTTTGAAAAAATTATCCATCCTCTTTAAAAAAAACTTGAATAGACAACATTTGATGAAAGCAAAACTCTTCCCCTTTTCAATGGCATCGTTTGTTCATTCGTTCGTTTCTTTCGCTAATTCTCAAAAAAAAAAAAAATCACCTTGCGAAAAAGATCCCGTCTCGTAATCTTCCAACACATATTCCTCGAAATCGGCTTCCAAATCGTGGAAATTTCACGAAATATTATATTTCCACGATCCACGAAGACCTCGTGGTGAAATCTTCTCTCTCCTTTACCACATGGAGGGGAGGATGCACTCGTGACAAACGGATGCAGAGACGGATGCGCTCGAGAATAGGAGGTCTTCTTCACGATTGTTCATCTGAGACGATCCTTTCGATGCGCGTTATGCGTGGCATGAGATTACTTTATTCGAAATATTCAATGTGAAATTCACAAATTCGCTTCGAAGCTAAATAAGATTGGGATAGGATATTTGTAATGAGCAAGATTTTAAGGAAATAAGGAAATTTTGCACGTTAAAAGCACTCGCACGTACGAGAGAGAATTAAAGGGAGTGTTAAAATAATCTATCTTTCGAATCGTTCTTAAGTTTCTTCTATCCAATTTCGACGAATTGATTTCAATAATTAAAAATAATTCGCTTGCAATTCGCATAAAAAATAAAATTACACTCTTTATTTATAAAATAGAAATAAATAATAATTAGTTACTTTGTTCGGGAATATTCGGTGTAGCCAAAATAACTGTAATTAAATTTTCGTGCTAGATACAAGGGAAACTTCGTCGTCGTGAAAATAGAATTACGAAGTAAAACTAATTCCAACTAGAACTATATAGTTTCACACTGATGATGATTCCATTATTATTTCAAACCGTTTTTAATTATTCGAATTTCTAATATACAGCATTAACAATATAATTAAAATTTAATTATATATCGATTATTAGAGTAAGAATAATTGTTCTTATTGTTAGCTTTGATTAAATCCGCTCTTATGCGAAGAGCGATCCACTCCCATTTCCGCTCGAAATCAGGATAACTCGTAATCTTTTGTGGCCTAAAATTAGTTCGAGTCGCGTTGCTTATTTTAAGCTTTCCTTCGGTTACTTAGGCAAAATGAATTTACCAAGAGGAACTATTTAGAGGGGATACATTATTAAATAGCGGAGAATTTTATTTACGCGTGGAGATTTAACCAATACATCTCTTTATAAGTATGATTTTGATTTTGCACTGTTTAATTGATTGATTTAAAATTTTAAAAATTAATTTATTATTTTGAATTTGTGCGCCACGTAAATTTTTCTATTATTAAAAAAAATTAATCCATCTTTATCATTTGAAAAAGATTTGAAGAAAAAATTGGAAATAATGATATAAAATTTTCGTTTTTTTTTCTTTTTTTTTTTAAAGAATTCTTTCTTTCGCTGGCGAGTTTATCGTCGATGAAAATGATTCAAAATTGATATTCATAGATACGTGAAAATGTTCATTAACAGTGGCCAATAGCAGAAATAAAAATAACCCGTTTTGCAAACAATATGAAATTATTCACTGTTGAATATTTATGTATTACCGTCCCATCGATTCGTTAAAAACACATTCAATGCAATGAAATATGCAATGCACGATTCTCTGGACAATGTGTGATATTTTTTTCTTATTCTTTTCCAAATGGAACTCCATACATAATTCTCTATAAACTATATATATATATATATATATATAAAAATACAAATATTTCTTCTCGATTAATTTGTTACGCTTTCATTCATTCGCATGTCTCTTAATAAAATGCAAATTTCAAAAAATTTCAATTGAAGAAAAAAAAGGAATATGTTTATCACTTTAAAATAAATTAAAAATCGAACGAATAATAGCAAAATACTTATTTATATAAAATTCTTTCTCCACGAACTCAACTCCTATTATTTTCATCGAGTTTACGGACCGAAAGAGCGAGGACAGTTCCTTAAAGCGGACAGTTTCGACTGTTGCAGCGAAGACATCATAAATCGTTCCTCCTTTCTTCTTTCTCCACTCGTACAAATATATAATGGCTCCGTTGGTGAAACACGTTCGATCACATTAAGCAAAGCGTCTAAACGCGTTTCCACGAACGTCGGTTACTCGATTTACCACGCTCGAATGGCTATTCCCTCACGAAATCTGATAATGTAAGCGATGTAAGCCAGCGAATATCGCGTTTCGTTTCCATTCGGAGAACAAATTTTTTCCAACGGGACGTTGCTCGATCCTCTGTGGGATTACCGAACAAAAAGTCTTTGCTCCCTTTGTCGCGGAGCATAATGGATTATCACAGGCGAAAAGTTTCACGATCTCTATCTTTTATCTGCGAGTTTTCGCAATTTGTGACGC